CGAGCTCTCCTAACTCTGCCTTTCAAAGAGCATAGGCTCCTGCTGTATTTAGACACTCAGATCCCTTCCTTTGCTGCACACTTCCCTTTTCAAGCCTCCTTACTTTCTGTGTACCCACGCATCTCTGCACACCTGAACATTTTTATAAAAGAGGCATTCCTCTGTCAACACTCCACACTGAATACAGCAGGCCAGGCTCGCTTTTGTGATTTCAAAACAACAGCAATAATAGAATGTTTTTCCTAATGGGGAAACACATTGGGCAAAGAGGCTTTTTTTTTTTTTTTTTTTTTTTTTTTTTTTTTTTTGTAGGAGAGATAATGGAGGTCAAGTCCTGAAATTTCAAGGACTTCAGACTCCTGCTTGTGAAGCAGCAGGCGGGGAGCGTGAGCCAAGCTCCCCCTGCCTGCATCTGGCAAAATCTGCAGTACTTTTCAAAGTGGAGGCAATGATAATACAATGAAAATACCTGAGCAAAAATGCTTCCCTAAACTGTAAAGTCCAAAGGCACTGCAACCACTGACGGGCTGCTTTTCATGGTCAATAACTTTCACCAACTCAGACATGACCCCACTGCGGCCAAAGTTCAAAGTTCCCGAGACAGATTTTTCTTTCCTCCCTCTAAGGCATCATTCTTTATGCACAGGAATAGAAGGTGAATGGATGGTGAATAAGACCCAGTTATCAACCTAGGCCACGAAGCAGGCCAGTTTGTGACCGGTGTCTGCAATGCATCAGAGCGGCTTGTGAATTCAGACAGAGGAAAGCAGGACCCTTGTGCTGGCGAATCATTAGATATCATTTCGTCCGATCAGAGAATATTGCTAAAACCTCTCCCAATAAAAACCGCCTGTGGTTTAGCATGGAGGGAACAGGAAAATGCCTGCTTTCGGGCCGCTAGGATGGCGTTTGCTCACATAAAGCTGGCTGCTGATGTCTTGGTGTGTTTCTGAATTGGGCACATCTACCCATTCACCTCTAATTACTAGGTCCCCCCCCCCCCCCCCCCCGTGCCCCATAGTGGTTGCTTGTCACCTCAGAGTTATCACATAACCACAGACTTGTTGAGTTACAAATGGCTGTCGAGAGCCAAGCCCCCCCCCCCACACTTTTGACCTGACCTTAATCTTGAATTGTTCACAAGTTTCATTGACCTCTGGGAAAAATTAACCTTTCTGTGTTCTACCCCCAACTCTTAAGATCCAGAGCGATGCTTTTTCAAAGGCTCCCCTGTGTTCTCCAAATGGAGAGTGTCAAGTAAGAGGATCCAATTAGAATGCTCGCTCCTCTTTTAAAATCCAGCAGAATAAACACAGTCTGGAGGTTGCTACCTTCCAGGGCATTCAATTTCTCCAATTTAATCCAATTTCACCAGTTTCTCCCAAGAACATACAACCCATGCAGGACCCTTAGCCCATTAAATGCACATGCTTTGGGATTTGGGAGATGGCTTGATGGTTAAAGCACTGGCTGCTCTTCCAGAGGACCTGAGTTCAATTCCCAGCCACCACATGGCAGCTCACAACCATCTGTAACTCTATTTCAGAAGATCCAATGCCGCCTTCTGGCCTCCATGGGCACCATGTCTATTCATGTAGACAAAACACTCATGCATTAAAAATATTAACACATAACATGTCCCAACTCACGAAACTTTAACCACATTTCTTTTTTAGTCGGGTGTTTGACGTTTAAATCCATGGTCAAGTTAAAAAAAAAAAAACAAAAAAAAATTCCTTCATACACACTAGCTCCCAAATCTAATGATAATTACAAACCTACTGTTTTGACTGCAACCCCCATACCTTAAGCCCACTGCCATGGGAACTACATTCTGGGCATGACAGGAGCTGCCAATTGCAAAGAGGTGCCCCAACATGAAGATGAGGGTAAAGTACCTGCCCACTTAGAGATGCCTGCCCTTCCACATACGTGGTCCCACTCAGGAGGGCACAAGGCAGTGAGTTCTTGTTAATCTCAGGTCTGCTAGTAATTCACATAGTCAATGAGATTCCACAAGTTCCTACAAAAGCTATGGTGCTAGGAGATTACCAGTGAATAGATCCCAACCCTCCATCCCCACCCCCTAACCCTAACCCTCACCCATCTCCTCTCAGTGATCTAGACCCAGTGAGAGAGGCAGATTCTCCAGGAACCATGGTGCCAGATAGTTTAAGAGGTTGCCTTTTAGTGGGGGTCTTAGTTAGGGTTTCTATTGCTACCACGAAACACCATGACCAAAAACCAAGTTGGGAAAGAAAGGGTTTATTTGGCTTACTCTTCCACATTGCTTTTCATCATTGAAGGATGTCAGGACAGGGGCTCAAATAGTGCAGGATCTTGGAGGCAGGAGCTGATGCAGAAGCCATGGCTTGCTCCTCGTGGCTTGCTCAGCCTACTTTCTTATAGAGCCTAGAGCCACTGGCCCAGAGATGGCACCACCCACCACAGGCTGAGCCCTCCCCAACTGATCACTAATTGAGAAAGTGCCTTACAGCTGGACCTCATGGAGACATTTCCTCAACTGAGGCTCCTTCCTCCCTGATGACTCTAGCTTGTGTCAAGTCGACACACAAAACCAGCCAGCACGCTAGGTTCCCCCAGTATGGCGTAGTCTAATGGGCATCGACCTTTTGACATTGCACTGTTATAACACCTACATATGCACCGGGTCACGCTCACAGCTATCCCAGGAAACACATGACCCACCTGCCATAGTTTGGACATGCATGGGGATGAATCGGACTGAGGACACATGGCAAGACTTGCCTGTCACCACCAAGAGCTGGCATCACGTTCACATTCTAAGCTCTCAGGGACCACTTGTGATAGTAGCGTTCTTACTGATATAGCCCTCTCCTTTACCTGTTTCAAACTGAAATCTGATGAGAGATTATGGGAGGGTAGTAAGGCAGTCTCTTTCTCAAAGTCTCCGTGAGTCCAAAAAGCTGTGGCGGCAGCAAATTGGCTTGGGGTAGCTAAGCAACACAGGTGGCCCAGAGCCCAAGCTGCCTTGACAGCTACTCGGATGGGCACGGTGTTTTCAGCCACTGCTTCTCAACTTCACAACCCCTCAAGGGTGGTCTAGGGAAGAACTGTGTTTTCTGCTAAAAAAATGGAAGTTTAGGGAGGCGGACATAAGTCTGTGGCTTAGCAGGTGGCAGCTGAGAGGCAGGGACCCAAATGTCCTAATGAATGACATCACATCTTCTCTGCTGTATCCAGGTGCTTTTCCAATGCAAACTTTCCAGTGCCCATTCCTTCATCCTGTGGAGACCCCAAACCAACTCAGCTCAACTAGGAAGACTTCGCCCAGGAGCAAGGACTTCACCGTGTAAACTGCACACCCTCTTGCAGGACACCAAAGTCACCACCTCTTGATGCTCAGCCATTGAGGGCTGCAGAGGCAAAGCACACGCACACACACCTTCAAAGAGTCCATACAACAGCTCGGAAAACCACATGCACGGCATTCCTTTCCACAGGAAGCCCAATGCTCCTATGAACAGGAATGCTCTCAAGGGGGAAGCAAGCTCTGCTAACAGCCTAGCATTTCTCTCAGGAAGCTCCTACTGAAAGCCCAGCTGCACTTGGGGCCGGGCCTTAGCATAGCACATGCTGTGAACTTGCAGCTTTAGGCTGGAGGTGCAAGAACCAAACCAAAACAGGAACCTCACAAGACCCCTCCTACCACCAAGTCTGGGATTTAAATTCTGTGCCTCATTTTCTCTAAGCACATGGCCCTAGAAGATCTAGCTCGTTCTGTGCATTACAAAGGCTAAAGCCGCAGACATAGCAAATGTTTGTTCAGTACACAGAAATTATAGCATTTCTTTTGCTATTTATGTATTTGTTTACTTATTTAAGAGGATCTCTCTATGCAGCCCCAGCTGGCCTGGAACTCACTCTGTAGACCAGGCTGGCCTCAAACTTAGTGATCTGCCTGCCTCAGCTTCCTGAGTGCTGAGATTAAAGGCGTACACCACCACCACCCAGTTTCTTATATTCTGGCATGAAAATCACTTTCATGAGAAAGCCCATAAATGTCCTGTTCATGAACAGCACAACAGGCCCACGGTAGCTACACAATAAGCATGAATCAAATGAATGAATTATACACTCACTATACTCACGTAAGTCTGTGTATACATTGGCAAACTACTGTGTCTCAACCTAGTGAGTTATCATACAGACACTTTAAATGAAGCAAAAAAAAATGCATTTTATTCACACGAAAATGTTTTTCTCAACCTAACATTTAGTGAAACAAATTAAAAACATGTTTTCTCTTCTCTTGTTCTCTTTCTAAACCACACACACTTTTTACACCTCTGTTTATAGGCTTGACAAACATAGGCTTAAAAGAACTACTTCAGCTTTCAGTCCTCGGGAGGCTGGGGGGGGGGATATAAAGAATGCAAGGCTAGCCTCTGCTACATAGTCAGCTCCAGGCTAGCATGGGCTACTTAACAAGATCCTGCCCTGTTAACAAACTCTCGGAGTCCAGTGTGCATCCATACATGTTTAAGATGTTGGAAAAGAAACACTTCGTTTTATACTGTCAATTCATTTGTCACCAGGCCCACTGTCTCTGGAATTTTATATGATCACTAAGCTTATCTGTTTATCTGGCTGTTTCTTGGGGTCATCCCTGCCCTGGCTGATGATGTAACTCACCCAACACTTAGTCAAACTGATGTGAAAACAGCTAAGAGACAGAGGCCAGTCTGTCTCTTAGAGGCATTTCTAAAGCAATGCCACCTCTTTTTAAATTACACCAGAGCAGCCAGCCATGAGGAAATGAAGTTCCCAGGGAACACACTCCATGTCTCAGAGCTGAAACGTGGATCCGTTACGTTCATTTACCTGGCTTTCCAAGATCTGAAAATGCATTTTACCACAAAATAATCACTACCCCAGCCCCATCGCTGGTCTGAAGTGCAACCAACGACAGCATTTACAGTTTTCCAGTCTGGAAGCAGTCCAGAAACCCTCTTTACCTGGGGGTTCCTGATGGACTTGTTCCTGAGCTTGACCGGTCACAAGTTGTCAGTTCACCGGGAACACCAGGGCCTTGAACTTCAGTCTTGGATGTAGAATGTTAAGAAAGGAACTGGTTACAATATGTTCTCTGGATCGCCCCCAACTCTCCACCACCTTGGGAAAGTCACTGTGACCCTGCCCACAGCGTCCCAGGGTCGCCCAAGAAAGTTCTGTGCTCCTCCCTCAAGAGGAGCTGGGAGAAGGAGGGGCCTTTCTGGCTTCCTTTAGGAGAAGGGAGTGGGGTAGGGTTGGGGGTAGGCGAGCAGCCCGGAGTCTCAGGGTGCATCTCAAAGACATTATATACCACCATGGATTTTTCTTAAAAAGAATCTTAACTTTCTCTCAAAAAAAAAAAAAAAAAAAAAGTCTGGGGAAAAGGAGGGGTACAGTTGTTCCAGGCTAGTTGGAGTGAGCACTGGGGCAGAGTCACCCTCCTGACTGGCACACTGGCACTCCTGGCTCCCTTCATCCATATCAGGCCAGCAGGACAGCCAGGGGCACAGAGGAGACTTTAAGCTGACCCTATACAGGACCCACTGTGGCACTGGTCTTTGGAGGGCAGAGACATGAGGTAGATTTAGCAGAGTCTCTGCCCGACTGCTGGGGCCTGCCCCACCTCTGTCCAACTAGGGTCAGGCACAGTGTGGAAACTGGTGCTCAAAGAGGGTCGGCTGCTGGTGACACGAACTCGGGCGTTTCTCCAGATTGACAGCAGTGGCCTGGCTCAGTGACACCAGGATCAGTCTGTCCGGGCCTCAGGTTACCTCACCTCTAAGATCTCTGAGGGTCTCAGGAAACGCCCCCCGGCGAGTGACGCCCAAAGGTACCACGCCTGGGAAGGGCGCACCCAGATGTCACCGCCCGTGGGCCCTCCCCTCCAGGGGACAACCAGAAGACCCAGCGTCGCTCCAGTTCCAGGACTCCGCGAAGCCCCCAGTCCCACCACCAGCGGAAAACTCGAGGGTTCGGTGCCCGCGCCTGGTGCTCCCGGGGACCCAAAGTAGCGGACAGTCCCGCGCGTCCCGAAAGTCGCAGGAGTTCCCAGAGTGTGCCCTAGCCGGTGCCTGTGGGTCTCCAGACTCGCGCCCCTCGTCCGCGCGCATGCGCCACCGAGTCCCTCCCCTCCCCGTCCACCCACCTCACTGTCCCGGGACAGGGGACGCCTGGCTCCCGCCCCTGCGCGTGCCCTCCGATTCCGGGCACCCGAAGCTGGGGGTTCTCAGGGCCGGCGCGCCCGGGGAGGTGGTGCCAGCCGGGGCACAAGCGGCTGCCTCCACCCCCCGTCACCCCTGTCGTGGGGCCGCGGCGTTCCGGGCCCCGGCCCGGCACCGCCCCCGTGCGCCCGTGCCAGCCGCGCCCCCACGACACGCGCCGCCCCTCGGACGTCCCCTGCGGGGTCCCGGGGAGAGGTGACCGCCCCGGAAACTCCGCCCCCTAGGCCTGAGCCGTGGCTCAGGACGAGGCACACCCCCCGGACGGCAGCCTCTGATTGGCTGCTGCGGGGTGAGGGCGGGGCTGAAGAGGCCCGGGGCAGCTCTCCTTGGTGCCCATTTAGTGCCTGGGGGCCGGGGCATCCGTTGATAAACTGAGGCTGGCTAGGTGAAGGGACTACCAAGGTCACCCGACGGGCGAGGAGAGCCCTGCGGGAAGCCTGCACCCCGGCGCGCGCTCGCTCCTGCTCCCAGCCCTGCGCACCAGCCGGGACTGAAGTTTAAGGCTGCGGGTCGGGTGGAGCTTCCCGCCGGGTGCCCTTGGTGAGCTGGTCTAGACCGCGGAGGGCGCTCCGGGAGTCCTGGGAGTTCGTGAGGTGGTGGGCTGGAGGGATCTGATCTTCAGAGCCCCAGGATGCGAAATGGGAAGTAAAGGAAGAGCGAGCCGGGGCACGCGGCAACAGGTGGCCGAGGTGCCAGGGTGGGTGTGGCGGACGGTGAGCGCAGAGGCTGAAGGGCATTGGGGACGGTCGCGGGGAGGCGCTGCCGCTCCGACCCTCCTCCTTCGCCCCTCCCCGCCCCGGGCTGCGGTCCCTGTGCGTACGTTTAAGGGGTTGAGGGGCTGATCGTGCCCAGCTCAGCCACTGGGGCTCTGCCAGCTCCCAGAGCAGGGGGGGCGGGAGGGGGAGACCACGACCCGGCACAGCCTCTTTGTTTGCGTCGCCCCTGGATCTCCGCTCTCGGAATGCGTAAGGCCCCCGGGGTGCCAACGCATCAGGACCGCCGCTCCTTTGGGAACGAAATGTGTGCTATGCCAGCCCTCCTGTCTGTCCTCAAGCTGCGCCTGCCACGATGCTATTTGTGGCGATGAGCGCCCCCGGGAGAACCTACTCGGGGAAAGGAAACTTTAAACACACATCTCCTCAGACTGGCACAGTCGGGAACTTCTTTTAAACCCCATCCTTGCTGATCAGCCTCATACCTGTGGTGAACTCTGCCCCACCCTCCGGACACCCACAGAACCTTCCCTGCTTGCCTCCCGGCAAGCTCTCTTTTTCTTGCACACCCTGGCCAGGAAATCGCTACTGTTTGTATTATGCTTCAAAGCTTGCAAAACTGGGACCCTGGAGATGGCTGAGCCGGTAAAGGTGCTTGCTACCAATCCGGATGACCTGAATACCGTCCTGGGGCCCCACATGGTGGGAGGAAAAAACCAGCTCCTGCAAGCTGTTCTCTGACCTCCATATGCGTACACACACACACACACACACACACACACACACACACACACCAGCCACTCTGCTACATACAATAAATAAACGGGGGTGGGGGAGGGAAGGACCTTGCAAAATGACCTGCCTGTATGGTTTCCTGGATGACCCAGGGGATACTCAGAAATAACATTATTCCCTTGTCTTATCAGCGGCACAAAGCGTTGTGCTACGTGGCATCTTTCAAACAGTGAGCAAGGATGGCTGGAGGCCGCCCACAATAGCTGCATCCCTGGAGGACCCTCCCCCCTCCCCCAGTGTCCTAGGTGGCCGGGGTGGCCACTGGAAAGTGAGCTTTCAGTTACCTGGCGCACAGCAGGTCCAAAGCTCGAGAGATCAGAGTCCACAGGCAGGGGTGTTGCCTTCCTTTTCAGAGGGTTTTGCCAGAAACCCAGTTCTACCGGACATTTGGAATGATCTGAAAAGAATAGTTCGGAATGAGAGGGGTCAGCAGAGTAGCTGCGAACACAGAGAACACAGCCCAATGACAGCTGGAATTCCGGGAGTTCCCAAGGTTCCAAGAAGAAGAAAAAAAAAAAAAAAAAAAAACAAAACAAAACAAAAAAAAAAAACACGTGGGTTTTGTTTGTTTGTTTTAAACTACAAGCCTAGAGGAATCACTTTATAACAAAGCCTTCCTGCCAGCCAGCCTCCCTTAGAAATCCTGACCCACCGTCTCTTGCTCACATGGCCCTCTGTCACTTGCCGCAGAGGATGGTGAATTTTGTTCGGCAGACTGCTTTGAGAGGAGAGAGCTGCAAGGGCTTCCTCCACCCACCTCAGAGGGTGCACACCTGGGATGCCTTCTGCTTCCTGTGGTGTTGAGGGGGTGTAGAGACATATAGATAGGCACCTGCAACTCGGGGCTGAACAATGTCCTTGTGTCCCCTAGTTGGCACATTAGGAACCACTGGAAGTTTTAGGGTCCCGTGTCCTAGTTCACCCTGGATGGCTTTTGAGACGCAAGACGTATGCCAGCTGCAAACGTGTTGGGTCACATCTCCCGCTCTCCTGGGACATGTACGGCCCGTGGGCTCCAGGTTGGACACATTTGTCCAATGTCCCCTTCCCTGACCAGTTTCAGGCCTAGGAGAGAAAGCCATTCTGGAAAGCCCCTCCTGCATGCACCCGCCTGCCAGAGGTGGATGGGAGGGGTACCAGCAGGGTGCCCCTGCAGTGAGTGTACAGATAGTGGGGGGGAGCCTGGTACAGGAAGCCCAGCAACCCCACTACCTGCCTTCCCCCACACTTGGAGATTCTCCCGTGGGTCTGGGGTCCAGGCCCATCTATGTTTACCTGGCAGCTTATGTAAGTCCTTTCCAGGAACCACCCAAGGCCTCTGAGGGTCACTGGCTTGCCCTCTGCTGATCTGCAAAGCCTCATATCATGTGTCATCTGACAGGACAGTGGCCTCTGATCTCCTGGAAGCGTGCCTTCCATCAGGTGGTGGAAGTCCACCAGGGCAGGAGAAGTCGGTATTTGCTGATGGAAAATAGGAAGCTGCTGATGGCCCGAGGTGGACTTCAGTGAAGAGAAAGCCTGGTATGTCCTTGGATGTCACCCTAGGACTGGCATTCACCACCCAGGAAACGAAGTATGTTCGCCTTAGCCACGAGACTCGCGGTAGCCCTGGAAGGCAGCTCCACCTACCTCTTCACAGATGAGGAAATCAGGGGCAGAAGCCACCTGGAGAGAGTAGGGGTGCTCTTGGACCTCATATCCATGCAGCGATCTGTACTTATCTGGTACAGAGGCCAACTGCTGGCTTGACACTTCAGGTTCTGGCAGACGTAGGAGCCTGGCGCTCTGGACTGTCCTGTCCCCAAGACTCTTGGGGTTGGCATCAGACAATTCAAAAGCCATGGCAAGGAGAGACGGGCACAAGGAGGGAGAGTGTGGAAGTGATATGAGGTGGGCAGAGGCGGGCAGGGGCAGCTGTCCAGGGAGAGCCTTGTAGCTGAGGGGGGCCAGGGGGCAGGTCTGGAGGGCTGGCATTTGTCCTGAGGTCTGTGGGAAGCTGGCCATGGATGGTCTTTCGCTGGGCTGCAATCCCACCAGAGCAACACATGAGAGCTATGTCACTTGTTAGCCAAGCAGTGGTGGTGGGTAAGGCTCTAGTCTTCGGGATCCAGAACCTGCTACTTGGAGACTGCTGCTTCACAGACACTCTACCCTTCTTGATAATTAACCTGTCTCCAAACCTAAGTTTACAGGCTCCCTTTGCTCACTGTGGGTCAGATGTCTATCTTTGTCTCGGAAGGTCAAAGCAGAGTTACAATAACTCTGCTCTTGGCCCCTCTCCCCTCCCCGGGCACAGACACTCTCCTTGTGGATACATGTGACTGCGTCCCCAGTGGGCTATGTCTCGGGGCACTGGGTCATGGGTGCCTTTTATCCAAACCAGAGCACAGGCTTGCAGAGTGACCCACTGTATACTTCAGGAGTCTCCGTGCAGAGTCGAGATTCAACTCCCAAAGGCTATTTGTTCTGGCCTGGACCAGAGCTAGCACCATGAGCTACCTGGCTGTGAGTGGGCAAGGGTCAGGAGAGTAGAGATAAAGGCACAGTGTGTTAGTCTCAAGTGCATGCCAGGTGTGGTAGCTCACGCCGTGGGCCCCAGCACTTGGCAAACAGTGGAAGGTGGATTTCTGTGAGTCTGAGACCAACCTGTTCCATACACAAGTCCCAGGACAGCCAGGGCTACATAAAGGAAGAGACCCAGTTTCAAAACAAACAAAATGTGCTTGCTTTGTTTTCGAGAACATGTGGTCAAGTTCAATCTGAAAATATTAAACGGGCGTCGCACACATTTCGAATAACGTTTACTACAGTAATGTATTATTACAGTTATGCCACTTGATTGTACCCTCCTATTGTGCCTGCTATGAAAATTAAGCTTTATTCTGGATCTGAACGAATAGGAAAAACCCAGTGTCTCTGGGTTCTGGTACTGAGCTGCAGCATCTACGGGGTGCTTGGAAGTACCCATTACTGCCTCATCCCCCTTGGCACTGCTCTGACCATTAGTTTAGTTTTGGTCTTGCTCTACTCATTTGTCACTCTGTAACTTTGGCATTGGACTTGACTCCCACAGGAGCCTTCCCATTTAGCAAGTAAAGCTGTCGTGTTTTCCCTGGGATCCTGAGGAAGGTACTTGTATGATCCCCCTAAAAGGATACACATTCTTAATGTGGTGACCACTAGCCTGAGCTCCTTAAGATCCATCTCACGGCTGAAGCGGCCCTCTCTTCAGGCCCCTTTTCCATGTACCGTGCACACAGCTTAGTTCCCCACTGTCTGGCATTTTCTGGTTGCCAGTTTCTCCTGCAGGCACTATGGCCACATGCCTCCTCACACCGCCCTCCCCTCTACTCTCTTGGCTTTCACAGA